GAAGTCCACAAGTCTTAAAGTTGCCAAGGTTGGAGACCCCTGGTATAGGGTCTCCTGCTTATTATAAGAATATAGCTATTCAAACTTTAAACATCACCCCAGAAGGGAGGGAGGGAAGAGAAGGAAGGAAGAGGAGGAAGGAGGGAGGGGGAAGGAGAAGGAGGGATAAGGGAAAGGGACTGTGTCCACGTCTAAAAACCAGCAAGATATTACCTAATAATGAATTTGGAGATGTTTGTATCTGCCAACATGCATCTTCTTTTTTTCTTTTTCTTTTTATAGTTTCCTCTTCCCTGAACAACTGCCAATAATTAAGGCAGCAGATACCGCCAAATGGTTGCCCTTTTTGTAGGCAAAGGAGTGGATTTCTGTGGTGGATTACATCTGTCTGCCTGCTAATTTCTGAACATTCAAGCTGGTCTAAAGCACAAGAGGAGGCAGGTTATATGGAAGTAAACTGCTCCAAACTCGATTGCAGAAAATACGACTTCAGCAACAGAGTGGTCAATGCCTGGAACGCCCTACCCGACTCCGTTGTTCCAGCCTCAACCCCTCACGGCTTCAACCTCAAACTGTCTGCCGTGGATCTCACCCCATTCCTAAGAGGTCCTTAACAGGGGGTATGTGTAAGCGCACCAGCGTGGCTACCGTCCCTGTCTTATGGTCCCCATTCATCTGTATTTACTCCTTTGTTCTTGTTTCTGTTCATACTTACACTTGTTACCTTGTACATGTTTGACAAACCAACCAACAAATAAATATTCCTGACTGGTGGACCGATTCCTTGCTGTTACCCAAAGTGGAAAATGAGCTTTGCATCTTCAGTCACCAGAGGAGAAACCCCACACTCACGTTTCCTCCAAGCAATGGGCTGCGCTGAGCACCCACTGAGCGGTGATCAGGAACCCTCCGCAGAGATGCTTCCCGTCCTCCTGCAGAGATGCCATGTAAGGCCTGTGATGGGGGGCGCTCTCTGATCCGCCCAGGATACGGCCCCTGGGACGATTCGCTGGGAGGGAGAAAATGCTGTGTTTTAACCTGCATCCTGGAAAACCACTTTACTTCTGCCCTAAACCCAGGCGGGAACATGCATAGGGCCGCATTTCAATATGTAATTGAACAGGCTGGTGGGAAAGGAATACGGAATTCAAAATCCCCGTGGCTACCAATCTATGGTGAAGGAGGACATGAAAATGCTGCAGGATTGGGTCAAACACCCCCTTTTTTGCCCCTTATGCTGGTCCAATTAGACCTGCAATTAATTGGCTTTTTTCCCCGGAAATAAAGTGGGGGGGGGGGGGGGAAGATAATCATCTCTCTTTTGGAGTAGAAAAAAGCCATCAAATTAGAACTAAATTCACCTTGGCTTTTTAAAAAATCACATCAGTCTGCCTAATGTGGAGATGGCCTTGTTTTTGAAGACCCTGGAGAACTGTCCCAGCACTGTGTTGGAAAAACAGTTTTTTTTTTCCTGCCTTGTTGAAAAAAATAAACACATGAAAACAGTGATGCAGTCCCTAAAATGGGCTGAAAAGTAGTTTTTTAAAAGCCCATTCGTCTAGGGAAAAATGACATTTTTAGCTGCATGAAAAAGGCCCATCAATTTTGCAGAATGTATGTCCCCTTTATTCTGGCCTTCACTTTCATAATGTGTATAGATAGATAGATAGATAGATAGATAGATAGATAGATAGATAGATAGATAGATAGATAGATGATAGATAGATAATAGATAGATAGATAGATAGATGATAGATAGATAGATAGATAGATAGATAGATAGATAGATAGATAGATAGATAGATATAGATATAGATATAGATATAGATATAGATATAGATATAGGTATACACACACACACACACATCTAATGCTGTTTTTTGCCCTACCAATATATATAAATCAGAAGTGGTATTCAGCAGGTTCTGACCAGTTCTGGAGAACCGGTAGCAGAATTTTTGAGTAGTTTGGAGAACCAGCAAATACCACCTCTGACTGGAGATTTTACAGTATCCCTCCCCTGCCACACCCACCAAGCCACGCCCACGGAACCAGTAATAAAAAAAATTGAATCCCATCACTGATATAAATATGTATATATAAAAGAGTCACTACCCCCATATGTTGATGAAAGTAAAAGGGTATGTATTGCCCTTTTACTAAATACTACCAACTCTATTTTAGAGATAGACTACCTCCATCCATGGAGGTTCCATTTCTTGGCTGATAGTACAAATTGCTAGAGAAATTCCTCCATGAATTTGGAAAATTTTGTACAACTATATCATAGGTTGGGTAATCAAATGATGGGTTGTTGTTGTTAGTTGTGAAGTTGTGTCTGACCCATCACAAGCCCATGGACAACGTTCCTCCAAGCCTTCCTGTCCTCTACGATCTTCTGGAGTCCATTTAAGCTCACACCTACTGCTTCAGTGACTCTATAGTGCCCCTGATGGAGACTGACTCTGAGGGGGAGGAGGAACAGCCGGCAGGGAGTGGAGGTGTGGCTCCGGAGGTTGGGAAGGAGGCTGGGGAAAGGCAGAGGCCGGCTGAGAAGTCAGATGAGGACCCAGGCCCATCCCCTATCCCTCCAAGGGCACGCAGGGAGGAGAAGATAATGGAGAGACGTGGTCTACTTGGGAGGAGAGGGCTTTGATCCTCTTCATGGGCTGCAGCTGTGACAACTGAATGAGAGTATGGACCTGCGTACGGGCGAACGCTGGAAACAAAGCGTGGAAATATCTCTAGTTTATAGTTCCTCTCTGAGTTTGGCGTCCTTCCCAGTGTGTGTTATCGGTGGACGTCCTCCAGCCCTTATCTTGCCTTGTTTGTGTTGCTTTTTTCCTTCTTCTTGTAACTGTTTGCGTGGGAATTTTTTGGCTTGGAAGAAAGTGAAGGAATAAAAGGGGCTTCACCTGTTTTCTGTGACTGTGTTTGTTTTGTATCCCACCCTGGGTCACCACAGACTTCATCCAGCCACCTCATTCTCTGTCATCCCTTTCTTCTATTGCCCTAATCTTTCCCAGCATTAGGCTCTTTTCCAGTGAGTCCCATGGACAGCACCAAAAGGCAAAAAAAAAAAAAAGGATGGGTAAGGAAGGATATTTAAAGTTTTTAGAGACCAGCCTTTATGCCTCAATATCAACACCTCCATAGGATAAAAGAACTGGAGGAAGCATATGAGCAAAGGTACACTACAGGTAGTCCTCGACATGTAACGGTTCATTTAGTGACCATTCAAAGTTATGACAGCACTGAAAAAATGTGACATGACCATTTTTCACACTTATGACTATTGTAGTGATCACCTTTGCAATTTTCTGACAAGCAAAGTCAACAACTGTGGCAATTAAGGTTATTAAAATGGGACAAAATTCACCTAACAACTGTCTCACTTAGCAACATAAATTTTGGTCTCAATTGTGGTCATAAGTCAAGGACTACCTGTATTTTGGAAAGCTCTCTTGCCATTTCTTTTTTAAAAACTGAGCTGGCTGTTATTATTATTTCCCTGGAGGTTCCTTGTAGCTTCCTGTGTCATTTATGGTTTCAATATTTTTTTCTCTCCAGTGAATACACAGCTGCCACGTATCTTAAGGTGTGGCATCAGCCCATACCTGCCATAACTTTCCTTTGCATCTCCTAGCACTGCTACTTGCTTAAAATCTATGTTTTTTTAAAATCCACTAATATGCAAAAGATGGTCTGGTAAATCTAATCTCTGCCACTTTTAAAAATCCATTATTTGGGGAAACAAGAAACCTACTCTTGCTCATAATTGTTAAAGAATAGAATACTTCAGCTATTCAACTAATTAAATCATGAAATAACTACCTAGATTTTAGACTAGCTTAGGGTTGCAAAAATAGTCTCCACAATTTGTTGTTGGTTCAGAAAAGTAGGTGAATTGTATAAACCATAATTCAATTAACCATGAGTTAAACCATAGATAAGATACACCCCATTCCTAAGACCTCACCCCATTCCTAAAAGATCTGTAAGGGGCGTGCATAAGTACACCATCGTACCTATTATCTTGTAAGTGATTGACAAATCAAATCAAATCAAATCAATAAATAAAATAAACATCCGAAAAGGGTAGACCCTGTATTGCAGGAAAAATGCTAGGAAGGAGAAAAAATAAGATTAAACACAACTTTTGAACTGCAGCAAAAATGCTACAGCAAGCAGAGAGGAAGGAATAAAAGTGTATTAATCAACTCACCAGAAACGGAGAAGATGCTCAAGGAAATTATTAAGAGCCAAAAGGAAAATCTAGCCATCTTTAGCTCAGGGCTCTGGGTCTTTCTTCAGATCTAATGCTGTTTTTTGCCCTACCATGAATTCAGCAGGACTAACATCGGATTTCCGGGAAGGCCTTTTTTTTTATCAATCCCAGTGATGTCCTTGACGTCAGCATTTTGCAGCAAAACAAAGAGATAAATGATACTCCCTGTTATTTGTTTTGGCCCAGAAACCTCTGGGAAGGAACCACACTTGAAATCTCCCTGAAAGTGAACTTTGAGAAAATTGTTTGCTTTTAATTTGAACTCGCCCCCTTTGAAGACATTCCTGCAGAGATGTCACCAGAAGGGGAGGGCGAACAGGGACTCGAATTAGTTTTCTTTCCCTCCAATGATCCCTTTTAGATCAGGGGTGTCCAATCTCGACAACTTTAAGACTTGTGGACTTCAACTCCCAGAATTCTCCCAGAATTCCCACAATCCTGCCTAGGGAATTCTGGGAGTTGAAGTCCACAAGTCTTAAAGTTGCCGTGGTTGGACACCCCTGCTTCAGATGGAGACACGGGTGAGACAATGCAGATTCTTCTAAAATGTATTATAAAGAAAGGTCTTGCTTGCTTGGCCCTAGGATCAGACTGATCCATGCACGCGGAATGAACCTTATCAAGTACAAAGTTCCTCCACGAGGAAACAGAAACAAAAATGTGCAGGCTATATATTTATTTAATCAATTTATCTGACTGCTTGTCTGGCAAACACAATTCCTGGCAGCTAACATGTAAAAACAGTCTATGTGAGTATGCACTGATATCTTGCCTTCATTCTTTTTATAAATAACTCAAGCCAGTGAATATATATAAAAATTTTTCCTCCTCCTATTTTCCCCACAATAACAACCCTGTGACGTGGGCTGGACTGAGAGTGAATGACTGGTCCAAAGTCACCCAACTGGCTTTCATATCTCAGTTCGGACTAGAACTCCTAGCCTCCTGGTTTGTAGTCTGGTGCCTTAAATACTAGAGAAATACTAAATATTAATAATGAAAGAATGGCAGTGTAACAATGGTTCCTCCACACAGGTTAATCCCCTCTAAAGAACAGACAGAGACCTGCTGATTCTCAAGGCCTGGAGGATATCCAGCTCTTCAAAACTTACAAAATATGTTGGGTGAGAGAAACTGGTTTGGAGAGATCGCTTGCGAAAACGATCTTGGAATCATTCTTGGTTATCAACTAAATGTGAATCAATTGTGAAATGTGGTTGGCATAATGACAAAAGCAATCTTAGGCTCTCAACCCAAAAAAAGCTCCACATCACAAGAATTAATCATCGCATTTTATTTTGCAGTAATTAGTCCTCAAGGCAGGGGTGATGTCCAGTTCTGAACATTATAATTTTAAAAGGCTTCAGACACACAAATAGCACCAGGGAAGGACAATAAAGACGCTTGGGAGAAAGCTGTCCACAGGATCTGGTCAGAAAAATAAAATAAAAAATGGTGTGGTTGATGCACATAGAAACAGTCTGAGCTATCTTGATTATTATTATTATTTTACTATCCTCCATGGTTATCCCTGATCAGGAGTCTAGAAAATAAACCAGACCATAGAGGTAATTTCCTCTAGTGATTAAGGATCTAGGGCAGGGGTCTCAAACACAATTTACCTGGGGGCCGCTGGAGGCAGAGGCTGGGTGAGGCTGGGCTGCACATAGAAGTGTTTAGCCAGCTAGCGACGCAGGGAGAACGCACTAATATACTTTCATATCACGGTGGGGGCCACAGGATATCGTCCTGCAGGCCGCAATTGGCCCGCGGGCTGCGAGAATGAGACCTCTGATCTAGGGCTTGAGACCAGGAGACTGTAAGTTCTAGTCCCACCTTTGGCATGAAAGCCAGCTGGGCGGTGCTAGCTAGGCACTCTTTCTCAACCCACCTCACAGGGTTGTTGTTGTCAAGAAATAGGAAGAGAAGGAAGTATTAGGTATTTTGCTGTCTTGAGTTCTTTATAGTAGTACAAAGACAGAATATAAAATGAAAAATAAATAAAAACCAAACGGAAGCATCTAGGAATGTTCTTGATAAAGAATGGTTTGAAAGGAGATATGATACTTCCTGAAATCAGAATAAATGTACATAATAAAAGCGTTAAAACTAAAGCGTTAAAACTAAAGCTAAAGTGTTGGGAGAAGTTACTCCAATTTAATTGATTCAGCAACCATTTCTTGGGGATATTTTTGTTTGCACAACTCTGATGTCTAAAAGCTCTTCTGATCAAGTTTCATTTCCTTTTGTGTATGGGTGAATGAGAATTCCAATTCAAAGTTTGTGACAAGGATGAACACCACCCAAGATTGATGATTAAAGTCAGAACAAATATTTATTGTACTTCCATTTCTAAAGAAATAAACCTCAACCCTAGAATTACTGCCTAAAGAACAGTACTGTGAGACTCAAAAGTTGCTGAGCTAAAAAGACTCAGAGATGCTTACAGAAGATAAAGTTTTCTTGATGTTTACCATGATCCACAGAGATGGAAATGTTGTTTCACAACTTTCTTCCTCAAAATGCTTCCATTATATTCTTATGATATTAATCCTAAATAAAATGTTGTGAAGAAGTAAATTGGCCAAGTCTTTATTGGCCAAGTGTGATTGAACAGACAAGGATTTTGTCTCTGGTGCATAAATTCTCAGTGTGCATACAAACAACAAAGTGATAAATTGTAAATCCCAAGATACAATAATAAATCATAAGATACAACCAACAAAGTGATAGTCATGTTACCAATAGGAATGAGTAATAGGAAAGAGGAGAAGAATCATAGCAATACAGCCCTACTACATGGGTAAATATCTTAGGCATAAGACAGTGCTGTAGGAATACTGGTAGATGTTTAGCAGAGTGATGGCATCTGGGCAAAAACTGTCTTTGTGTCTAGATGTTTTGGCCTGCAATGCCCTATAGCGGTATCCAGAGGGGAGGAGTTGAAACAGTTTATGTCCAGGATGTGAGGGGTCTATAGATATTTTCTCAGCCCTTTTTCTGGCTCGTGCAGGATATAGATCCTCAATGGAAGGCAGGCTGGTTGCAATTGTTTCTTCTGCAGTCCTAACTATCAGTTGAAGTCTGTACCAGTCCTGTTTGGTTGCGGTACCAAACCAGACAGTTATAGAAGTACAAATAACAAATTTGATAATTCTTCTGTAGAACAGTATCAGCAGTTCCTGGGGCAGTCTGAGCTTTCTGAGTTGGCATAGGAAAACATTGGCAAAGGAAGAAACCCTTTGTGACTTCATCAGGGTTGCATTTTCCATTGCATTTTCCATGACAGAAATTTACTCAAATATATTTTCTTCAAACAAGGATTTAAGAAAAATCTCACCAAAATAAAAAAATCTCTTTTGAGCTTTGCTACCAATCCATAGCTGACTTGTAAAGCAAAAGAGACCCAAGTTTATACAATCAGTTACTACTTCTACACTGAGTAGACATTATAGGAGGAGAGTTGGGTCATGAAATCAGGTGGTAGATCATTAATGAGAGATCCAACCTAGAATTAAGGAGAAATTTCCTGACAGTGAAAACAATTAATCAGTGGAGCAGCTTGTCTCCAGAAGTTGTGTGTGCTCCATCATTGGAGAGTTTCAAGAAGAGATTGGACAATCATTTGTCTGGAATAGTATAGGGTCTCCAACTTGAGCAGGGGGTTAACAGATAACAGATAATCAAAGTTGGAAGGGACCTTACAGGTAATCTAATCCAACCCCTTGCCCAAGTGGGAGACCCTACACCATTTCTGGCAGATGGGAGTCCAATCTCTTCTTGAAGGTCTCAAGTGATGGCGCTCCCACAACTTCCAAGGGCAAGTTGTTCCATTGGTTGATTGTTCTCACTGTCAGAAAGTTTCTCCTTATTTCCAGGTTAAAATCTCTCCTTGTTCAGTTTCCATCTATTATTCCTTGTCTGGCCTACAGGCTCTTTAGAAAATAGATTGACCCCTTCCTCTCTGTGACAGCGCCTCAAATATTGGAAGACTGCTATCATGTCTCCCCTGGTCCTTCTCTTCACTAGACTAGCCATGCCTAGTTCCTGTAACTGTTCTTCGTATGTTTTAGCCTCCAGTCTCCTAATCATCCTGGTTGCTCTTCTCTTACTTTTTCTAGAGTCTCATAATCTTTTTTATAATGTGGTGACCAAAACTGGATGCAGTACTCTAGGTGTGGCTTTACTAAGGCTGATAGGTTGTTATTCTATGTTAAAAGTGTTGTGAATCAATAAAAGTTACTAACATAAATGCAAATCAGGGTTTGGAAACCTGCACACCTGATTGGCCCTTATACAACAACTAGGGATTGGTCCATAAGTAGTCCCTGATTGGCCACTATTTGGACACTTCTCATTGGTTATAAGTTTGAACGTATGGCACATGCCATTGGTTAATAAGGTAGCAGATAACCCTATAAAAGGGTTGCTGTTGCCCATAGCCTTGCTCTGTTCTGTTCTATTTACGATTATTAAAGAGTTGAAGTCACTGGTCAGATGTCTGGTCTCCTTTATTTCCCAAACTTAACACTGGCGACGAAGGTGGGATACGGAGACCGAAGAGCTGACTGAGTTACAGAGCAACCAACAGAGCACGTGGTCGAACACGCACCATCAACGGCAACATGGCCAGCGGTGCCGTACCACCCGCTCCATTCAACCCAGAAACCGAAGACTGGGAGGCATACATGGACCGGTTCCAGATGTTTCTGGAGACCAACAATTTGAAAGATGCAACAACCGGCAAAAAAAGAGCTATCTTTCTAACTCACTGCGGGCCTACCGTGTTTAAAATGGCAAAGTCACTTGCCAAGCCAGCAGAGGTAAAAGAGATGGACTGGGACGTCCTCGAGCCCTTACTACGGGCTCACTACGCGCCCACCGTGCCAACCTTAGTCAGAAGACACGAATATTACCAGAGGGACCAACGGAAGGGCGAAAGCCTTGCCAATTACATCGCGGACCTCCGCAACCTTGGAGGCCTCTGCGGATTCGCCAACTTAGAAGAAGCCCTCTGGGACCGCCTGGTTCTGGGCCTAGAAGACGGCACGATCCAGAGCAAAATTATGGCTAAGGGGGACAT